CAGTCATTTCTCAAGATATTTTTATGCCCCACAAGCTCCTAATCACTCTTCTATGACTGTAGGCCTCAAAATGACACCCAAAACTAAATTAACACTCCATATGTGGTATAACAGACAGTACTTGTAATAAAAACTGTCTCTTGCTACAAGTTTTTTTGGTGCAGTTCAGTGTTTTTACAAACTATATCAGACTGGTTACTCATACTGACTTTAGCTTATCTACTAAAATTCTTAGTATACTATTTTCATACATGATGTTGAAGCTATACCTGAGAAAGTTAGCCTTTTTGAACCAAAAGAATGGACTGAAAATTTTATCTCATTAGACTCAGCCTTTATGACTTCTCAGATAGATAGATAGATAGATAGATAGATAGATAGATAGATAGATAGATAGATAAACTTTTCTCATCAATGGGTTACTATCATCCATTCTCTGAGGAGGCCTCTGCATTCTTTATAAATTTAATGAGTCATCAATGATATTCAAGGTACTGATAAAGAACTGAACAGTACTGGACCAAGAACAAAGATCTGAGTCATTTCACTAGAAGTCTTCTGAATTCATCTGTATACATTTATGTATTATAGCCATTCAGTTATTTATTGTTGTTGTTTGAGACGGAGTCTTGCTCTGTCACCCAGGCTGGGGTGCAGTGGCGTGATCTTGGCTCACTGCAACCTCCACCTCCCAGGTTCAAGCAATTCTCTGCCCCAGCCTCCCCAGTAGCTGTGATTACAGATGCCTGCCACTAAGCCGGCTAATTTTTGTATTTTTAGTAGAGACAGAGTTTCACCATCTTGGCCAGGCTGGTCTTGAACTCCTGACCTCGTGATCCACCCACCTCGGACTCCCAAAGTGCTGGGATTACAGGCGTGAGCCACCGTACCCGGCTAATTCAATTGGTTATTAATCCTCACTCACATTTCTCCATTTTACCACAAGGATATTACAATAAACTGTTATAAAACATGTCACTAGACTCTAAAGAAACTGAATATCCATCTAACTCTCTCTGATCCTTCAGCCTAGTAACACTATTAGAACAGTATTGTTCTGTCATCTCGGACCACAGTGAAGACCACCCCTAGGGAATGACAGAATGGGAAAATGGAAGAAAGCTGGTCTCTAGCAACTTTGTGGAGTTGCCATTCCTGCCCTGGGCTGTCTATTGTCAGAATTCTTGTAACTGGGAGAGAAATAAACTACTTTGTATAAAGAAAAAAACGGGATTATTACTCCCATAAATTGAAGTGATCCTAAAACCAAGAATACAAGCCTAGGGAGAATAAAGCAGGCCAAACTACATGGTATTTTTTTCTTCCAAACAAATTTATTCTGTTCCAGCCCCAAAGAAGAGGAAGGACCTAAATTTTAAAAATAACAATAAAAATTGCTAAAAACAAAGCCATTATAAAATGAAGCCCCCTCCTTTAGCAATAAATACTGAACTGATATATACATATGAGGCTTAGGAAGGAGGCAACAACAGGAACCTTGGGGACTGTGTCCCATGGCAAGATCCCAAGCCTTCTACCAATTCCATGCTCTTTGCTTAAAACATAGAGAGCAGTGGAAGAGACAGCAGAGATATGCCAGAAGAGTATGTGGCCCTGGAGAGAGCTGGAACATGATGAGGGCAGAGGAGAGAGAAGAGATACGAAGTGTAATACAGGCAGGGAAAAGGAAAGTTCATTTAAAACATTCCTCCCATTCCTGCTGAATCACTGGATGTGGCTGGACCAACTGCACAGGGCCTTGTCCCCTCTCCTCCAGTCCCTGTTGAGCACACAAGTCAAAGAAGGTCATTCACACTGTGGTCGCGATGCCACTGTAGCAACAGCCTGGCTGCTGGATCCCTGAGGCTTCCCATTCACCACCAGCAGGAGGGGCGTCTCCACTCGAACACTGGAAAAGGAATAGTCCTAGAAAAGACAGACAAAGGTTCATTACAGATTCCAAGATGGAAAAAGCTCTAGCATGGGGATACACCACTTGCAACTTTCTGCACCACCTCCCCCACTGCATACTCCCTCTACTTTCATCTCACATCAGACAAAACTGAGCTAACAAAGGGGACGCAATTTTCCCAAAGTTTTCAGTCTTCAGAAGGAAAACATGGAGCATGTAAGGTCATGCAGTGCCACTACAAGAATAAGACAGCTCTTTGATTCAAAAAAGGCAAGTTCCTGGCACTGCCTAACAAAAGAATGCAACTAACTCGCACAGAATCTGCCTTTTCCCACGGTGTTTCCCGATAATTAACTAGATACACATAGCAGCCAGCCAGAGCCAGTGGGAATCCTGAGAAAATCTCAGTCCAAATTGTTTATAAGGTCCTAATTTAATCCACCAAATACAAATTAAAGTTACTTCTCTTTTTTATATCAAGAGGAGGAAATAGAATATGTAACAGAATGTAGCCGTTTTCCTAATCACAAAAAGGATATCAGCTCACTTTATCAGTTCAAGTGTATTTTAAGTTGTAAAACATGTTAAATAATCTTCCTCCAAAAAATATGGCAATGAGAGGCAGGCTCTTTTAAGTCCAAGTAAATTTAAAAGTTCTCATAAACCAATTTTTTTAAGTCTTCACAGAAATATCGATAAGTGACACCAAAAAATGGCAATTTAAACAAGAAATACAAATTAAAATAATATTCATGCTATATTTTTCATGTAAAATTAGGAAACAACTTTTCAAAGGTTTCCAACCAGAGTTGAGAAAAAAACTAGAGAAACACTTATTTACATCCCTGTTGGTAGTGACAACTAACTAGCACAATTTTCCAAAGAAATATTTGGCAATATGTATCAAAAGCATCTGAATTCTGCATACCCTTTGGACCCAGGACTCTGCATTAGAAATTCATTTAAGGAAATAATCACAGATACAAGCAAAGATATAAAAATCTTCACTGTGTTTCTAATTTTTTTTCTATTATAAAAGTACTAATCTAGATCTGAGGTCATCAAAGTCTTTCTGTAAAGGGCCAGATAGTAAATATTTTAGGCTTTGTAGGTCAAATGGTCTCTGTTACGGAACAAGTCACTTCTGACACCACAGTGCAAAAACAGCCACAGACAATAGTAAGCAAATGAGTGTGGCTGTGTTCCAATAAAGCTTTATTTGTGGACACTGAAATCTGAATTTCCTGTAATTTTCACACATCACAAAATATTATGCTTCTGTCAGTTCTTTCATTTAAGAACACAGAAACCATTCTCTTTTTCTTTTTCTTTTTTTTTTTTTTTTGAGGCAAAGACTTTCTCTATCACCCGGGCTGGCATGCAATGAGACAATGATGGCTTACTGTAGCCTCAAACTCCTGGGATAAAGTGGTTCTCTCACTTCAACCTCCTCAGTAGCTGGGACTACAGGCATGTGCTGCAATACCTGGCTAAGTTTTTAAACATCTTTTTGTAGACACAGGGTCTCACTACGTGTTGCCCAGGTTGGTCTTAAACTCCTGGGCTCAAGTGATCCTCCCACCCTGGCCTTCCAAAAGTGCTGTGATTTTGGGCATGAGCCACCATGCCCAGCCTAAAAGCCATTCTTAATAAAAACAAGCAGTGAGCCAGATTTGGTCCATGGGCTTTGCCAACCCCTGATCTAAATGGTTAAACAGTGGTTAAATATCTACATTCATAAGGTTTTTGTAAGAATTGAATGGGACAAGGCAGGCAATAAAAACTCTTAGCACAGTGTCTGGCACTCAATTAAGTGTTAAATAAATGTTAACTATCATTACCATCTTCATCATCCCCTGTCTACTCAATGTGTGAAATATGTAAAAACATAGGAAACATTCACAAACATTTGCATATAATATCCCACTCATGATTTAAAATATAGATATAAATATATGTGTATATATTTATGAAAAGAAAAAAGACTTCAGGTATATACACCAAACTGTTAACAGTAACAGTTAAAAAGTAGTAACATCTGAGTGATAACACCTGAGTGATAATATTTCACTCCATTTTTTTATTTTTTTGCTTACCAGCTTACCTTTTTAGTAAAAAACTATATATAAAACATATACACACAAATATATATACACATAACCTACACACATACTCACATATAATTATTTCTATATCTTTTATAAAAGATATAGAAATAATTGGTTCTACTTTTAGAGCCTATGAGTTGGAAGAGAATCCTCGCCATCACTCACCTTTCCCTTGTGCTGAATTCGGTGAAGACGCAGGTTAGGCTCAGGGATGGCTACAGAGTCTCCAATGAGCACTCCCCAGCTCTGCACTATATTGTACACCATCACTGCATAGCAAGGTCCATCTGAATCTACCAGGCCAAATGTACTGCCAGGTAAAGATAGATTAGGAGAGAGGACAACAAAAAGGTATGCAGGCAGGAAAGAAGAGCAGAAAGAGTGGTTTAAAAATACTAGCAAAATACTGGACTTAAAGTCAGTGACAGGTAATTAAAATAAAATATAAAATTTAATTTAATTAAAGTTTAAAAATAAAATACTAACAAAATAAACAAATGCTTTTTCTCAGTTACTCAGAAAACCTATCAGAGGTACCATCCTCCACTTTGTACATCTGAGTCTTCATTTTTCTGAAACTTATCAATCTGTCACTTTGCTAAGAACTTAGGACAAAGCACACTGAAGCCATTCAACAAATATTAATGAAGAACTAGACCAAAATGTTACAATTGTAACATTATTCCTGATCTATCAATTTAACTATCATACTCTTTTTTGGTTTTTTGTTTGTTTGTTTGTTTTGAGATGGAGTCTTGCTCAGTCGCCCAGGCTGGAGTGCAGTGGCGCGATCTCGGCTCACTGCAAGCTCCGCCTCCCGGGTTCATGCCATTCTCCTGCCTCAGCCTCCCCAGTAGCTGGGACTATAGGCGCCCGCCACTACGCCCAGCTAGTTTTGTTTTGTTTTTTGTTTTTTGTTTTTTTTGTATTTTTAGTAGAGACGGGGTTTCACTGTGTTAGCCAGGATGGTCTCAATCTCCTGACCTCATGATCCGCCCATCTCGGCCTGCCAAGGTGCTGGGATTACAGGCGTGAGCCACCGCGCCCAGCCAACTATCATGCTCTTAACCAAAGCCTCTAACCATCACTGTCTGTGTAGTTTAATTCCACAAACTTTCACCACACATTACATATGTGCCAAGCATTGTGTTTAGCAGTAAGATACCAATCCAGCTATGAATGACCTATAGTCTAGCAGGAGTCAAACAATGAAGTCATCACTTACAGTAAAGTGTGATGAGTGCTAGAATAGCTTTTCCCTTGTGCTGAATTCAGTGAAGCCACAGATTGGACTGTGGGAGCCCAGAGGAGAACTATCTAAATCAAAATTGGAAAGCAGGAAAGATTTCCTGGAAGAGGTGATGCTCGAAGTGAATCTTAAAGGGTAAAAAACCAGCTGGGTTAAAATAGAAAAATTAATCCTCAGTAAAAATTTTAAAAACCTCTGAGGGGACAGGAACAGAGATTGCCTTGGAGGGAACATGAGGGAACTTCCCAGAATGGTGGTAATGATCTCTGTTTGGGTTATACAGATATTTTCCATTTGTTAAAAGCTATGAAATGTACACTTAAAATTGCACATTTCATTGTATGTAAATTTTACATAAAAAGAAAAAATTGAAATACTGAACTCAGTTAATGACTGCATGCTAGAGTATGTAAAGTATATTGATCTCTGCAATTTACTCTGACAGCAGGATAAACAGACCGATACGTAATAAGCTAAGTAAAATAAAATGTTAATGGAAGAATATAAGTGATTGAGAACACAAATGTTCAATGTAAAATTCTTTCAACTTAGCTGTATGTTTGAAAATTTTTGAAACAAAATGTTAGAGGCAGAAGAGGATGTTAGCCATGTCAAGAAGAAGCTAGAGATTATCCAGGCAGAGTAACTGTATGCAAGACACAGAGGCATGAAAACAGCTGTTCTAAAACCAACAAAATTGTTCCGTGGTTGAAACAAAAGGCACAGGTGGGAAAGAGACAGAAGATAATGGACAGAGAAGTAGGAAGCAAATCATGAAGGACTTTGTATGCTAAGCTAAGTAGTTCACACTTTATCCCAAAAGCTACATATAGTACCAGCAAGGAATCTTAAATAAGAAGTAGCAATGGTCAGATTTACATCTAAGAAACATTTCTCTGGCAGCACTGTGGAACACTGGAGGAAACCAGACAATTAGGGAGATCTATTTGGAGAAGTGATAAAGGGGTGAATTAAGGTGGTAAACACAGAGAAGTCAAGTCTATAGGACAAAAAAGGCAAATCTTTTTGGAGAATGGAGAAGCCTATTCTTCCAAAAGTCTTAATCAAGTGACTGAGAGGTAATACCATTCATTCACAAGGAATCCAGGGAGGAGAAACAGATTTACAGAGAAAGATTTAGGTGAGTAATACTGAAATACTGAGTTAGAGATTTCTTATTGGAACCCAAAGGCAGTTGGTTATAGGGATCCAACACTTGGAAATGAAGCTTGGGCTGGAGATACATCTGTGACATACAGGAGGCTGCCAAAGCCTTGGGTTTATACGACATCACAAGGCAAGATGATCTATAGACAGGATGGAGAAGAATCACACTCATGCCATCACGTGACACACCTGAATTCACAGGAAACATTGCAATCAAGCAAAGCACTCTCCTGATGAATCCAGTCAAAGCCTCGGAATCCTTCTACATAGTATGTCAGGCAACCACTGACAAGTGATCAAAGTTGGCAACTATAGGCCATCCTGGTATAAAGAGAAAAAAAGGAAAAAAACAAAAATAGAGTCCTGAGAATCTAAGATTTAAAAGCTGGGCAGAAAAAGAGAAACCAAGGAGTGGCAAAATATCTATTTGTTCTCAAGGTCTTCTAAAACCTACCTTTGTCTATATCCCTTTCTAATTCTTCTCAGCTCTAGGATTTGCTCTAGTTAACTAAACTGTTCTCAGCTACCTTTTTGCCCTTCAACTCATCAAACACACAAACCCCTAGAAAACGCCATGGAGAAAGCTGGGCCATATAATGGGAATTGTGAATATTTCCATTTAGATGGAACAGAAGGCAACTGTGAAAGGCAATAGTTACAGATAAGTCAGAATGTTTTGGAACCACGCAATAGAAGTTGCTGAATCCAGTGCCTAGAAAGACAATGGTGATCCTAGGAAAATAATAATTTCAGTAGAAAAGAGAAAGGGGAAACCAGTCAACCAGGGATTAGGAAGTGAGTGAAGGACCAAGGAGTGGTGGCACTCACTAAACCCTAACTTTTCAAGATCCAAAAATTTTCTAAATAAATATTCTTAATTCATTTCCTCCGCTGCTAGCAGCACCTGCACCTGGGTCCTTGACATTTCTTTTTTTTTTTTTTTTTTTTTTTTTGAGACGGAGTCTCGCTCAGTCGCCCAGGCTGGAGTGCAGTGACCGGATCTCAGCTCACTGCAAGCTCCGCCTCCCGGGTTCACGCCATTCTCCGGCCTCAGCCTCCCGAGTAGCTGGGACTATAGGCGCCCGCCACCTCGCCTGGCTAGTTGTCTTTTTTAGTAGAGACTGGGTTTCACCGTGTTAGCCAGGATGGTCTTGATCTCCTGACCTCGTGATCCGCCTGTCTCGGCCTCCCAAAGTGCTGGGATTACAGGCTTGAGCCACCGCGCCCGGCCTGACATTTCTTTTTTCTCACTCCCTATTACACATATACTACACACTCAACAAATATTTGTTGAATGACATCTAAGACAATCTCCCAACCAGACTTTAAATTATAACTCAAAGCTCACTTTTCAGAACTGCCTAAGTATACCTAAGTACAAACAGGACTAAGAATTTGTCCTCCTTCAACTTCTATGATCATGAAAATGCAAAGGGACAGAAGAATTTTGAGGTTTCTGTCTTATAAAAAAAAAAGTCCTGCCAAATTTCAACTATGGATATAGGAACCCACATAGCACCAAACTCAAGGATAAAAAACGGGCAGTGACAGAATCTACAAAAGCCTCTGATCAAAAGATTGTTAAACATCACCTAGGCAATATCTGCCCATGGGACAGTCACAGAAGGAAATCAGAAGTCACAAATCTGTGACCACTGACAATCTCCTCAACTGCCAGGGAAAGAACAGGAAGTGACAGCAATTAGTTGAAAAGGGTAAAACGGGGGAAATCCAAGAGAAACTCACAAGGGGACTTTCTCTTCTGTGGTAAGGCTAAACACCACCTTTCCCAGGATGACGGCACCACTGTTCACCCCAGGCTGAAGCGTACTCAGTGGCTTGAGCTCCAGGGTCACTTTCTGCCCAGAGGCTGACTGGTAGTGCCCATCACCGCAAGGGCCTAGATGGGCTGGGCGCAAGCTTCCCAGCATGCTCTGCAGCTTTTTGGTCTTCACCTTTCCCTACAAAGAAGAGGAAATAGGTAAGAAGCTGGAAACTAGTCGCTTTCCTTGAGACTCTAATCCTTCCCTCCAACCCACTTCTATAGGGTCACGACCTCCTAAACCTATTTATTCTTATTTTATTGACCCACAGCAAAAAAAAAAAAAAAAAGTAGAATTCAGCCCTTTAGACATGTTTACCTTACTCTCAAGGAGGCTGGTTAATCTATCCAGGAATTCCAGAAGTTGTTGCTCTCGTTGCCGGGGCTCTGGCCAGGCAGGGTCCAGGGCAGCAGCCCGAGAGAAGCCCTCCAGGGCCTCCCCATAGCTCTCTTCGTATTTATGCAACTGTACAAGAAGTATATCCCAATTATAAGTATATCCAAACAAACTATCCCGAGGGAATAATGGCACCATGGACTAGGAATCTAGAGAAATAAACTGTTTTCCTTCCTGGTTATTTTCCTGTACTATAATAAACAGCCTCAAGAGCTGGTAATACCTTACTTATATCCTTCTTCCTAGCCAAGATGATCACAATCCCAAAGATGGAATCATTTTAAAGAAGCTAATTTCCAAACTCTAAAATAGTTAAGTTGTATACCTTGGGTCACTTGACCTTTATATTTACTTAACATTTCAGAAGTCTTCTGAAAGATGCCCCCATTGTCTACATATTCTTCTACCTCCTCAGCCCCTTCTCCTTTCCCTCCAGTGACTACACCAGATACTGAAGCCAAACCGAGCTAGCTGTTTATAGAACAGCACGGCTTTCCTCTCGCAGTCTGTACCCAGTCTGTGTCCCTATGCACACTCCGTTATCCTCACAAGCTAAGACCTAGGTGTCTTATTTATTTGACCCTCAGATGACTATACCCCAAAGGTCTTACCGTCGCCCTGTTCAAATGAAGGTCAGGATTGCTAGAAGCTTTTCTGTCAACCTTCTCCTATAATGGGATAAAAAGATTATCAGGGGATCCTGTCTCAATGTTAAGGACTAACATGCCCAACATGTCCTACACCTCCTCTTCCTAGAGAAATGGAAGTTTCTTCCTTGCCAAAATGTAATCTATACCACAGAAGCAGTTACTGTATAACAAGTGTGGGTATCTTAGTCCCTAAAACCTTAGGGATATAAGTGTTTTTGTATGTGTAAGACTTTAAAATATTATTGTAATTTATCCATGTAGCATTGCAAAGATAGAATAAATCTTTATATAAATGAAATATGTGGCCCGGGCACAGTGGCTCACGCCTGTAATCCCAGCACTTTGGAAAGCCGAGGCGGGTAGATCACGAGGTCAAGAGATTGAGACCATCCTGGCCAACATGGTGAAACCTTGTCTCTACTAAAAATACAAAAATTAGCTGGGCATGGTGGCGCACGCCTGTAATACCAGCTACTCAAGAGGCTGAGGCAGGAGAATCACTTGAACCTGGGAGACAGAGGTTGCAGTGAGCCAAGATCGTGCCACTGCACTCCAGCCTGGGTGGCAGAGTGAGACTCCTTCTCAACAACAACAAAAAAAGATTAAAAAGCGACTATTTAGCAGAAGCCAAATATAAAATGTTGAAGGAATACACCATACTACTCTTTAAAATGTAAACATTCACCGAATTAAGAAATCAGAGTAAAATATAATTGCTCTAAAAGTTCCATGATTGAAAAAAGGCAGTTTAAAGTTAGAGTTGCGGGGAGAGTGGCAGGAGTGGGAGAAAAACAAATTTAAAAGGGCAGTCCCTGAATTGCAAACATGAACATACAGTAGCTGTGTTCTTTATTCTACCACATGGAGCAGAGTAAGTAATGATAAGTTAAAAAGCAATTCTCTGTATCAAGAGAAGCAAAAGAAGAAAGGTAAATATGAGAGCTAAATAAAAAGTGCTCAGAGGACCAATGTGAAGTCAGAAGCCAATTCTAATAATGAGAAAAAAGGCACTCAAAGTCTGAGGGAAAGCCCTATGCAAATGCCTATCAATACAAAAATGCTTGAAAACCTAAACAAATTTCTTGAAAACCTAAATAATCTAATTCACTTAATTCCTAGGAAATGACACAGAACAAGCTACACATTGTTTTCTCTTTCAGCCCATGGGAAATCCAGAGCCATATTATCTAACGGTTAATTTGGGAATAGCACTTAATTTACACTGAAGTATAAGTTTTTCATTGTTCTTTAAAATGAATGTGACCAGGCGCGGTGGCTCAAGCCTGTAATCCCAGCACTTTGGGAGGCCGAGACGGGCGGATCACGAGGTCAGGAGATCGAGACCATCCTGGCTAACACGGTGAAACCCCGTCTCTACTAAAAAATACAAAAAAACTAGCCGGGTGAGGTGGCGGGCGCCTGTAGTCCCAGCTACTCAGGAGGCTGAGGCAGGAGAATGGCGTGAACCTGGGAGGCGGAGCTTGCAGTGAGCTGAGATCCGGCCACTGCACTCCAGCCTGGGCGACAGAGTGAGACTCCGTCTCAAAAAAAAAAGAACGTACAAAAATATTAATAAGCATTATTTTAATAACTTTCTTCTCATTAAGAAAGATGAACACGTTGAGGCAGCTCTGTGATTTGGTTATGTATGTGTGTAAGAAACCCAGACAGGTTAAGGAGCTATCCAGCATCAACGCACCACAATGCAAGTGGTTCCTCACACTCACGTTATAAGAAGTCAGTCATCTCTGCAGACACATCTTTGCAAAATCACACAAATGAGATGCCAGCAAACACTGCCACTGCCTGTGATGCTTGCTAAAAGGGCCACAGAGAAGACTGAACAACGCTTTTGCTTCTGTTGTTGCCTATTCATCTGGCCTGGTGACCATAAGTACTTACTGCTTGGGCATAGGCACTGAGGGCTTGCTGGGAGATCTTTGGGTTTTGGCCAGTAGAGAAGTAAAGGGAAAGATATGAATTTCCAAGGATATCTGAAAGAGAAACACAGTGACGAATCATCTCAGAGTCCAAGTTCAAGATATGACTTATTTTGATCATTCTTGAAAGTATATTTGAGAGGTCCCACATGAAACCCAAATCAAGAACGACACGATACTTAGTATACCCAAAATTCCCCTACAATAGAGCAACAAGGTCCCCAAACTGAAATTTGAACAGACCGTACAAAAGCCCTGCCTTGCTTATGTGAAAACTAGGATCAAAAGGTCGAAGAGTTCCTAGAAAAGCAGTTCACCAAAATGTCTTTCGTGTGTCTTCAAAACAAAGATGCCCTGGCTTAAACCTCAGAGGCAGACTCAAAAGATGGACTGCAAATGTTGCTCTGATTGAAAACATCTGCTCTAGAACCCTGTTGGATATCTTTTGAGAGCACTCACACCAGGAGCGGCCATCATGGACATCCATCTGAACAGCCAGCTTAGCCTGTCGGACACTGTCCATGACATGGTGAGAATGTTCATCTTCAGTGCCAGTCTGCAGCTGGCGAAGCACCATTGACAGGTTTTGCAAGGAGACTTTGTTCCTGCACTGCAAATAGAAAAGGCACATACTCAAACTTCCCGATTCTACCTCCCCTTCCCAGATGTATTCTGAATTCAATCTTCTAAATCTAATTTTTTACTTTTTCAAATTTTTTGTTTTGGTTTGGTTTGGTTTGGTTTGAGGTGGAGTCTTGCTCTGTCGCCCAGGCTGAAGTGCAATGGCACAATCTCAGCTCACTGCAACCTTTGCCTCCCGAGTTCAAGTCATTCTCCTGCCTCAGCTTCCCAAGTAGCTGGGACTACAGGTATTTACCACCATGCCCGGCTAATTTTGGTATTTTTAGTAGAGACAGGGTTTCACCATGTTGGCCAGGCTGGTCTCGAACTCCTGACCCCAAGTGATCTGCCCACCTCAGCCTCCCAAAGTGCTGAGATTACGGGCGGGGGTAAGCCACCGCACCTGGCCATATTTTTCTTTTTGAGACAGGGTCTCACTCTGTCACCCAGGATGGAGTGCAGTGGCACGATCTTGGCTCACAGCAACCTCCACCTCCTGGGTTCAAGTGATTCCTGTGCCTCAGCCTCCTGAGTAACTGGGATTACAGGCACGTGCAACCATGCCCAGGTAATTTTTGTGTATTTGGTAGAGGTGGCGTTTCATCATGTTGGCCAGGCTGGTCTCAAACTCGTGACCTCAAACGATCTGCCCACCTCGGCCTCCCAAAGTGCTGGGATTACAGGCATGAGTCACCACATCTGGCATATATATATATATATATATATATATATATTTATTTATTTTATTATTACTATTATTATTATATTTTTTAGAGACAAGGTCTCACCATGTTGCCTAGGCTGGTCTCAAAATCCTGAGCGCCAGTGATCCTCCTGCCTCAGCCTCTCAAAGTGCTAGGATTACAAGTATAAGCTACCACACCCAGGCTTAATTTTTTCATCTAAATTCTTGCTGCCATCTGTATCTTCAACCCCCATCTACAAGGATCAGCTTAGTTGCTAACTTTTCTTCACTTCCTTTCTCCCCCTGAACCTGATCCCATCATCATCTTCCTTTCCCAGGACCCTGCCTCTATTTTCCTCATTCAGGTCTGCTTTCCGACCTTTCCTCCCTCCTGATTCCGTCCTAGTTCAATTTCAGTTCTACTCTGGTATTCATGTCCTAGGAAAACTCATAGAACCAAAGAAATTCATCCTTCCCATCTGTGCTTTCCAAAAGGATAGGGGGCAGCTCACATGGGTAAGGGCTCCTGAGAAGCAGGTGTGGGCAGCTGCAACATCCCCTTTTTTCCAGTACACCTCACCCAGCTGGTTCCAGGCTTCCACCAGCTTGGGCTCCAGCTTCACAGCCTTTGACAGAAGCTCCTCAGCCTTAGGGCTATAGTCAGGAGTCACATTTAGTGCTTTCCCAGTTAGCATCAGAACTTGCGCCTTGCCCTGGACAGAACCTAAGAGGAAGAAAAAAAGATAAAGTGGGAAAAAAACAAGCAATCTTACAGTTAAAGACCAGGGCACTTTCTCTCAAAAAATAACTCCATGTCAGTTTTAGGAATAAAAAGAGTTGAGGAAAATATTTATCAACAAACCATTTATTGAAAGCTCACCATAAGCAGAGTGCTATAGTAGCTAATTGGGCAACAAAGAAAGCACTATTTCTAGAGCTTCTGCCATCTGTTTTTTGGGCCCCTATCTACAAGGATCAGCTCGGTTGCTAATTTTCCTAGAGGGATTTACAATCTAGGTGAAGACAAAGCATAAACATGGAAAATTAAAACCACGAAAAAGAGCATACAGCATTAGCCCAGTGAATGGGCTTTAACAAGTCAAGAGGAGTCAGGACAAATAGCTATCATTAAAACAAAAGACAGAGAGAAAGAAAAGACCCTCCAGATTAGAAAATGACATAAACAAAGACACAGAATCAAAAGTACATGTGGCCATGTTCAAGGGAGAATAAATGGTTCAACCTGGATGAAACAGAAAGTTCCTCTACAAGTAATTAGTCAGCGATAAGGTTAGAAAACAGAGTAAAACAATGGACACTTAAATACCAGGTTAAGGGGTTTAGACTTCAGCGAGTCAAAAGGCAGACAAGAGGATCAGGTTAAATGCATGAAGTAATGATTTAGGAAGATGACCATGGCCATCGTGTTATATAAGTGGATTTGAAAGTAAAAGAAATTAGAGGCAGAAAGTCAAATTACTGCAATAGTTCCAGTAAGTATGCTCTTTCATTTCATGCCATTTGCTATAATCAAATTTTAGAAAAAGTAGCTTAGGGAATGAAAGGTTGCACAGGGGCCCTGAGAAGTAATATTACATTGTACTACCCTATAGCAGTAACAGATAGGATACCAAAGAGTCTACGAGGAAGGAGTAAAGGTCGATCACATTTCACTGAAGGATGGGGGGTTGCACAGTCTCTAGGGCTCATACCCACTACTTCTTCCATCTGCTGTAGGGTCTTCTCCATCTCCTTCCGCACATCCCGTTGCTTCCTCCCAGCATCCTCAACACTATGTGTCTCAAAATAGCAGTCTCGAAATGAATAGAGCTGATCCACTAGTTCCTAAAAAGTATGACAATGGAACCATTAAGTGGAGAGAGCACTGGACAGGGAAACTTGAAATTGGCTAGCCATACCGTCTCTTGGTCTAGAAAGACCAATTCTCTTATCTCACCTAGGAATGGCACAATAGGCAAGTGGACAGGTTTACTAAAATGCCACAAATCATGAGGAAAAGCAGCCAGTACCCCAGGCCAGCTCTCATGGTCCCATGTTGTCCCATGCCAGTGTCTGTACTGTGATGACCGTTTTCTCTCCCTGCCCCAGCAGGGCTTCTAATATGACTAAACACTTCACATACCACAGTCATGAGGAGGGAAACACTGCAACTTAAGATAAACCAAAAGTTAGTAAGATCATTCTATATGGTCCTGGTCCTCAAAGAATAACACTTTGAAATTTACCCTTAAAGTTGGACTTCTCAACTAAAACCATTTTATTGCTGATTTTTCATATGCTGATATCTGAAAATACAATACAACCTTTGTGAATATAATAAACATGTTAGAGAGTCATTGTTTTCTACCACAAACATACCAATTTGAACTTGGTAACTTTGGTATTTTTGCAGCATTTTGTTATTTTTAAATGCTTATTGTGGTTTTGTTTAGTTCAATTTTTTGTCAAGTCATCTTCTAGGTGTCTTGGATTTTTTACAAGTAAATATTCTCTTTCCTCTTAAATGCCTCTGAGTCTTCCTGTCAGATAAGGCAAAGCTTTTCCACTACAGGTCAAGCATCCCTAATCCAAAAATCTGAAATCCTCCAAAATCCGAAACTTTTGAAATGCTGACACCACAAGTAGAATATTCCACACCTGACACACAGTCAAAATGCAGTCAAAGCATTGTTTCAGGCACAAAATTACTAAAAATATTGTATCAAACTACTTTCAGCCTATGTGTATAAAGTGTAAATGAAACAATTTTTTTTTTCTTTTTTAAAAGACAGGGTCACCAGGCACGGTGGTTCACGCCTGTAATCCCAGCACTTTGGTAGGCCCAGCCGGACGGATCACGAAGAGATCGAAACCATCCTGGTCAACATGGTGAAACCCAGTCTCTACTAAAAATGCAAAAATTAGCCAGGCATGGTGGTGCACACCTGTAGTCCCACCTACTTGGGAGGCTAAGGCAGGAGAATTGCTTGAATCTGGGAGACAGAGGCTGCAGTGAGCCGAGATCGCGCCACTGCACTCCAGCCTGGCAACAGAGTCTCAAAAAAAAAAAAAAAAAAAAAAAAAAGGAAAGACAGCCTCATAGGCTACCCAGGCTGGTCTCAAACTCCTGATTTCAAGCAATCCCCCCACCTCAGCCTTCCAAAATGCTAGAACTACAGGCATAAGTCACCAAGTTTCATATTTAGATTTGGGTCCCATCCCCAAGTTATCTCATTATGTATATGCAGATATTCCAAAATGCAAAAAGATCTGAAATCCAAAAAACTTCTAGTCCTAAGTATTTTGGACAAGAGATACCCTATTCTTTCCTGAAACTGAACAGATAGCAGCAGAAATATATAATCACTTCCCATCGAGTCTAATCAACGGTCTTCACAACATATCCTGAATTCACCCACCTGACTCCGTCCCACTATGACCACTCCTGGATTACATCAGCTTCATTACTTGCCCAGAATGCAAGAGCTTCTTAACCAGTCATCTTGTTTCTGTTCTCATTCTCCTCACTGTAGTGGGAGTAATCTTATAAAAAATGTACATCATATCACAAACCTTCAAATAGTTTCCCATTGCAGACAGAATAAAATCCAAGTCCTTATCATGGCCTAGAAGACTGTATGAGCTGAACTACCACCACCCATCCTGACACAAACTTCACTTCTCAGCACTCTCTCTCCTACGATACTCAAGCCAGAGTGGCCTTCATGCAGTTTCTCAAACCCATCAAGCTCAGCCCACCCGGAAGCCCTTACACATGCTTTTCCTTATGCCTGGACACTTTCTCCAGATCTCTGCATAACTTATTCCTCATCATCATTTAGATCTTAGATCAAATATCAATTCCAGAGAGGTTTTCCCTAATAACTGAAACCAAATGAATATCTTCCTTCTCTCGTCTACTGTTAAATCATACTCTTATTTTCTTCATACTTATTTAAAATCATGTGGCCTATCATTAATTGTCTATTGTCTGCCTCCATCACTGAAATGTAACCTCCAGGATGGAAAGGACTTTATTCTGTTTTGTTTCGAGCTACACCTGAGCACCAGAACAGGACTTGGGATATAATAGGCTCTCATTCACTATACTTGATTGAATTAACTAACTAACTACCCCTGTTCTAACAAATACATATGTGCTATACTTAATTTAAAATCCTATCCAGAATGAAGAGAACAGACTAGCACCCTCTGCAGTAATGCTTTTCAAATTTTATTGTATTATATCCAAGACCCAGCCTGCAGAGACTCTGATTTTAACAGTTTAGCAGAACTCAAAATTCTACATTTTTAACAGGCACCCCAGATGATTGTAATGAAACTGTAAAACACACTTTGAGAAATATCCTTTTATACATTCCTTTTACACTAAAATGTCTATAACAATGAAATCAAAGTTTACCACCATCTCCATGAACAGCAACACCATTATCTAATCCTTTTCCTCTTCTCTACTTCACTCCTTTATTCCATTCCTGCACCGACCCCACCCCAACATAACTGAAGTATCCTCTCCCAAGCTGTTTAGGACATTTACCACAAATGAACCTAGGAAAAGACAATTCTCATAAAAAATTACAACCAATTTCCTTTTGTCCTGAAATCAACATGGCTGCAAATTAAGAGTTTTAGAGGGGGTGCTTAATGATTGGTTTTAGTTGTTAAAGCAAACATTCAAGAACTTGTTTGGTTTTATTGTTTGGTTTTGTTTTCCTCTGGACTGAACGTTTTTAGAAACTTATTTTCTCATGGCAAAATCAATACATGTAAGTTGTTAAAATTCAAATAGATACATGTAAAAAACAGAAAGTAAAAAATTCCCCCAAACAACCTCAGTGATAACCACTGATTTGTATACCTTTTCAGATTCTTTTCTGTACATATACAAACGTATATACACCAATAATGTTTCTAATATAGAACCAGAATTGATTCTCTGATTTCAGTCAGTCACAATTAGGGAATAAAATGAAGTTAATCCAAATCAGTTGGAACACTAAAAAGTGTTAGTTACTATTTTAATCTACTCAAGAACAAAGAAATTTCACCAATATTTAAATTTGTGCGTTAAACACCTTTAGGCGAGTTACAAGCCTGTCATAGTTCTAATATTTAAGTTACAGGCTGTCTTAGAACGAAGAACTGAGTTCCTGAGGTTTAAGGAAAATCGTGGGTCCTTAAAGGCAAAGAGCCAAGCAATTAGTTAACGCCTCCCTACCAAGCCCAAAAGCCTAGTCTTACTCAGAAGCACAGTCATCTGTCGACTACGTGGAGTCTGGACCCCTCTGCATCAGACCCCAAAGTGGAACTACACATGTTGAAAGAAATCAAAACTGAAATCCTAAGGGGAGTAACCAGGACACTTGCAGTGCAGGTCATCAGTGTGATTGTTGCCAAATTCAAAGCAGAAAGATGTTAAATGGCTTTTGTAGGGATCAAAACAACATGTGATAATAGTTTATGCAGATCTGCCATACACATGTATATGCTATTCGTTATGGATGAATCGAGAAAACAACGTCCTCTCTAAAAATGTACATGAATAGTTAGGAGCAACAAATCCTCTTCCATACAGGACTGAAATTAACCGCAGTCAGGTAGACAGCAGGAGGTTCCAACACACTGGGAGGCTCCCTCGCTGGCTGCGGCTGCACCCTCGAGGGTTGTTATAGTAACCGCACAGACGCAAGCAGCTTCGCGTGTGTGCCGGGGAATTCGCGGGCACTACCTAAACTGGACTCCCTGCTTCATTCGGAGTAACAAAAACACATACAGATTTTAATCTAAGGCCCCACCTGCAGTTTCTGCAAGATCGGCTTGACTTCTTCCTCTTCATCAGCCATCATCTCCCGGCCACTCCACCCCCAACTTTATAACCACAGAGACGCACGCCCTCTCTCATCGCGGAACCACAGCGACACCTGGCGCTCTGGAGGCTTTTCTGCCCACGAAGGGCTTTGCTTCAAACCAACTTAACTATTTCCTACAGCACATAGATGCTCTGCAATCACTTTTGAGTTCATAAACTTGTTTCTTTCCCAGATCCTGGAAACAAAATGTCCTCAGCTTAATTTCTATATTCTTGTTTCATATCTTCCTACTTATTTATACTAAGATTATAATACTCCATGAAGAAGAGAGTTTAAGAAGTGCACACCTGTGTTGTTTGAAATTTTTAAAGGCATGTAGTACAATGGCTACTTTACCCAATCTTTTCCAAACTTTGCAATAACTTTCTATGTATGATTAATTTTATCATTTTAATGCACTATCCTAATAAATACTACACTTGGGATGGCTCATAAAAACCACCATGCTGTACACTAATAATGCCTCCATATTTATAGACAACATCCAGAAGGATATATAAGAAACAATGTCTGCAGAGGGAAACAGAAACTGGGGATTTCTGTGGGTAAGCGAAGAAAATTTTCACTGCCTGCGCTTTTGAATTTTCTTGCCATCTATATGTATCACCTATTCAAATATAAACATAATTTTTAAATAAAAAATTATTTGCTTCTACATAGTCTCTGGAAAGACACAAGACACTGGCAACACTATTGCTTACAAAGAGCAGAAGTGAGCGGCTGGAGCAAAAATGAGTGACTAGGGATAGACTTTTCACTCTATACCTTTTTTGTAACTTTCAAGTTTGTACCTTGTGAATATATTAAACTTGTGAATAAATCTTTTAAAGTGTCATGTAATATTCCTGACAGTTTTGCTTTACTTTTTTAGTTTTAATTACAGCTTCAAGTTGATTCTGTGAACCTAACAAAGAAGCAAAACGTTCAAGGCAGAAATCATGAATATACATAAAATCATTTCCTCAAATCATTTTCCAACATAAAGGAAATAGTTTGTATTGTAACCTATAAAATCTATGTCATTAGCTATAAAATAGGGAGGGATGTTTTAAAACTTTTTTTTTGAGACACAGTGAGAAAAAAGTCTCACTGTGTAGCCCAGGCTGGAGGGCAATGGCACGATCTCGGTTCACTGCAACCTCTGCCTCCGAGTTCAAGCGATTCTCCTGCCTCAGCCTCCAGAGTAGCTGGGACTACAGTGGGACTACAGGCACATGCCACCACGCCTGGCTAATTTTTTGTGTGTATTTTTAGTAGAGATGGGGTTTCACCGTGTTAGCCAGGATGGTCTCGATCTCCTGATCAAGTGATCCACCAGCCTCGGCCTCCCGAAGTGCTAGGATTACAGGCGTGAGCCACCACACCCAGCCCTAAAACTGTAAAATTTTTCATCCTCTTTCTCAGACATTTTAACTTTGGTGCACATGGGGCTGGGCTCAGTGGCTCACACCTGTAATCCCAGCACTTTGGGAGGCCAAGGCGGGCGGATCACTTGAGGTCAGGAGTTCAAGACCAGGCTGGCCAATGTGGTGAAACCCTGTCTCTACTAAAGATACAAAAATTAGCCAGGTGTGGTGGCGTGCACCTGCAATTCCAGCTATTTGGAAGGCCAAGGCAGAGCCACTTGAACCCAGGAGGTGGAGGTTGCAGTGGGCCAAGATGCTGCCACTGCACTCCAGCCTGGGCGACACAGCAAGACTCCATCTCAAAAAAACAGTAATAAATAACTTTGGTGCACACTAAGAATAATTTTTAAGAGATTTTATACTCTACATTCCTAGTGAGGGAAACACTACTTGCTCTTCAATTATGTAAAGCAGGGGTATTTAATTGCCTTTCTACAATGACTAAACATAAACTATCTTCAAATGATTTCAGTATAATTTTTATTACCTAAAAAACAATGGGATTTGGCATTTAGGGTAATTCCACTGTTAACAAATCCTAAACCATTAAGAATCAATCCTAAAATTTAAGAGTTAGAAAAGGCTGTAAGGATAACTTAATTCAATCCTTCATTCTACAGATACAAAGTCCAAGAAAGTTTAAACTAAGTAGAAACCAGAATCCAGATCTTCTGCCTCCCCAGCCAGTATGCTTTCAAGTCTTTCCTCTAGTAAGACATAAAGTTACTGAGAAGTCCTTCAAATTTCTATCATGGCTATACATTTTAAATAAATATATGCGTAATTAAACAGAATTTAATTTCCATAATAATAGTCAGAAATGCTCACTAAATAAAGGAAAACAATGAATAAATCTTGTAAATTATTTTAATACAGTCTCTTGAGATCAATAACACATTGGTAAACTTTCTGCAGAAGTGCATTCCTAAATAAATAAACCCAAGGCAACAGCTGACAAAAAGGTAAAGTAGTAGCTTTATTTTAAAATACAGTCTTCCTTTGGTATCTTTGGGGGATTGGTTCCAGGAACCCTCATGGATACCAAAATCCTTGGATGCTCATGTCACTTTTATAAAATGGCATGGTATTTGCATATAACCTACAGATTCTCCCAAATACTTCAAATCACCTCTAAATGATTTATAATACCTACAATGTAAATGCTATCCAAATAGTTATTATACAGTATTTTTAATTTGTATTTTTTATTGTTATATCATTAATTTTTTCTCAAATATTTTTGATATATGGTTTGCTGAATCTGCAGAAGCAGAACCTGTGGATACAGAGGGCCAACTGTAAACACCAAAAAAATTAACTTTAAAAAATAACTATCAATGTGAGTTATTTTAAATACAAACAGGGACTGAACATACATGCATCAAATTGTACTCTCGTTCACTGACATAAGCACACCTCCAAACAAGTTAATATGAAGGTAAATACATAAATATATACAAATAAATACACATACCCAAATAACAAGCCACACATCACCCACCATTTTCCAAGACCAAAATTTTCACATAAAACATACAAATACAGCAAAATATCAGTGTACATTAACATACTTACATATACAGATATGCATAAATACCAGAATTCAAAGCGACATGTAGCATATAACACAGGTACTTAAGGCATAAACAACACAGCTCAGTCAGAAACAGCCCAGGGAGAAACAGTTATCTATTGAAACAAATACTATTGTGACCTTCCCACCAGGGATGAAAATTCAGCAGTTCACAATGGAATTTAGATTAATAAAATGCTTATGCTTTAAATAATAGAAACAAAGAAACCAAACTCTAAACCACTCCCCACTGCCAATGAGTTTGTTATGTCGATAATGTGAAGACAACTTCAGAGATTTAAAAGCACAGGGAAGCTGAGGAGTCCTAACTAGGAAAAAGATTTGCTAAATGAAATCACTAAAGAGGAACATAGAAACATTCTGCAAAGTTAGCTAAATTATCTTTATTTTTTTAGAAACAAGGTCTCACTTTGTTGCCCAAGCTGGAGTGCAGTGGCATGATCTTAGATCACTATAGCCTCAGACTCCTGGGCTCAAGGGATCCTTCCAGCCTCAACCTCCTAAGTAGCTGGGATCACAGGTGTGTGACACCATGCGTGGCTCAAATTCTTTTTACTTTGAAGGCCCTGCTAGAAACTTGCTGCTGCTCTAATTCACGACTTGGAGAGGCAAAACTAAAAAAGCTGTTGCTGGGTTCAGGTGCTGTGGGAGAACCCACAAAAAATGGTTTGAACTGAAAATCTCCATCTCCATCGCCCCGATTTCGAACAGGTGTATTATCCAAAGGAAACCTGGAGTTGTTACCTAGTGGGGAAAAAAAGGGAAAAACATAATTTTATTCATTTGTTATCTACATAATCTACTTCAGAGGAATCATCAAATATATATATATATGAATATATTTTTTTCCTCCAGTATTTGTTTTAGAAAAAAACAGACATATAAAATCTTTTGCCCCAGGTTAAGAATAATCTTTTTAAAAAACATTGCAATAAACATTCTAGAAAAAATATAACGATGAAATATTGGCATATACCATGACCCAATATCAATTAGCATGGGATTAAGACAAAGCAGATAATAGATCTGATTAAATGAACATTTAACTACTTCCACTGAACCCTTCCTTGGCTTTTACAGGTTTTAAAGGATCAAATAACTAAAGGAAAATGCTGACTATATATCCTTCAAGCTAACAGTGGTAGCAGGAGATAAAGAGGTTAACTGTGTACAAAAAAAAGAATGGGAAAGAACTGGTGAATATGAAAAAAATAAGACAAGTGGACAGTGACAAGAAAAAAATATCTATAATGCCATTTACAGTAACTCTGACTAAATTACATTATGTAAGTAAAACTGAAAGTTAAGCAGATATTTAGGTTTTTATTCTTATATCTGATATTCCTCATCTCATCATCTCATACCTGCTCCCCACCTTTTTTTTGTAGAGACAGGGTCTCACTATATTGCCCAGGCTGGTCTCAAACTCCTGGGCTCAAGTGATTCTCCCACCTCAACCTCCCAAAGTGCTGGGCCGCACCTGACCACCTCACAATTTTTCTAAGACATCATCTCCTCCCCTATTAAATCTTCTTCCTCAGCCTATAGTAAATATCCAAAAATTAGTATTAGGAAAGTCCAGCACAAGAAGCTTCACTTTTTTGTATGCCAAAAACAATTTCCATTAATAGCATAGCAAAAACCTATTGGATTTTGTTGCATAAAGAGTAGTATAAAGGAGAGAGCGCAGGAAGATATGAGATTAATTTCATCTGCAAGGCACCTAACAAGCAGACAAGAGATGGAATCATGCTAGATTGTGATTTCTAGAAAGAAAGAATCCTATTTGGATAATCTTTATATCTTCATTAGTTAGGATCATACCTAACAACCTGGTACATAAAACATACTAGATAAATATTTGATAAATGGAAAAATGATTAAACAAAAGAACAAAACAACCAAACTGACAACTTAAGAATTGTACAATCAGTATTGGCAGGTGAAAAAAATAGAAACATGGCCTTCTTGGAGGATAACAAATGGTTAAAAGTATAGGCTCTGAAAACAGGTTAGTGATATTGACCAAATTACTTAACTTTCTGTGCCTCAGCTTTCTCATCTGTATAAAAGGATAATAATACTTCATAAAGTTTTGTAAATTATATGAATTTATGTAAAACACTTAAAACAGTGCCTAGCACTTAGGAATCAATAAATGACAGTTAATATTACTATTACTACAACTACATATCTTTTAATTTAATGCAGCAATTTGCAAACTTTCATTTTGCAGAGATTAACTCTGCTCAAATTAAAGATTTAATTTAAATGTAAGTAAATACAATAGATAAAAGCAATGATGTACAGGTTGAAACATGGGTGAAGAATTCATAGCCTACCACAACTCAAGACCCTTATCATCTCCACTGAATGCTTGGAAGTGGGCAGAGCAGTATAAAAAATCATTGATTTAAAGAATAGACACTGGATATCACATGTCCTTTCTTACCTAAGGGGAAGCCAAGAACACCAGACTGTGCAATCATGGATGGTTCAAGGGTGCCTTCATGGTTAGCAATAGTGATGTTTCGTAACCTAAGGCTATCATAGAGGCCTTGGAGCTTTTGATACTGACGATTGCGCTCCATAAGTTTCTCAGAGATGTCACTGAACTTTTTCTTGTATTCTTCTAGTACTTTCTTCATGGAGGTGACCTCCCCTTTCATAGAGGTCAATTCTACATCCTTGCTTTGTATTTGCTGAGTATATATCTTCTCCATCTGTTTCAGATGGCCCTCAGCCTTGCTGAAATTGTATTCTTGATAAAGACGTTCCTGATGTACCTGGTTCCAAAAGAAAAAAGATTTTTAAGGTATGGGGTACAAAGTTATACATTGTAAAATATTATACAAACACAAAAGGAAAAGAAAGATGCTTATATAGGGATGTTATTTTAACATTTAGAACCCAGTTTAAGAAGCAATCAGGATACACAATGAGGCACAGAAAACAGTAAGTTATGTTATTAAATGCATAGAAAAAAAGTCTGGAAGAATACTCTCAAACCACTAACTTTATACCACCAAAAGAACTGAGTATTTGTCTTACTTTAACAAGTGACATGTTTTCCAAAGGTTTTTAAGAAATATAATCCCATTTTTCAAGTCATCCAGAGCATGAAGAACAGACTCTAAGACAACCCCAAATTATCATTGTCTCCTGGTACATACACCCTTGTGTAACTCCCTATCCCCTTGCATGTGGGCAGGACCTGTGACTACAATACTACATAAAATGTGACAGGTTGTCACTTCGTAAGTATATTACCTAAGACTATAAGGTCTGTCTTACTACGAGACACACTCCCTTGCTGGCTTTGAGGAGGCAAGCAGCCATGTCAGGAAGGCCCAAGAGGCAAGTAACTAAGAGTCTCTGGTGAATAGCCAGAAAAAAATTGAGGACCCAATGAATCTAGACAGATCTTACGCTTTTTGCAAAAATAAACTCAAAATGGTTTACAGACTTAAATGTAAAATGCAAAACTATAAAACTCCCAGAAGATAACATAGGATAAAATCTAGATTATCTTGGATTTGGCAGTGACTTTTAAAATATACCAAAGGTATAATCCATGAAAGAGAAAATTGATAAGCAGGACTTCATTCAAGTTAAAAATCTCTGCTCTGTGAAAGACCCTGTAAGAGAATGAAATGACAAGCCACGGATCAGGAGAGTATATTTGCAAAAGATAGCTCTGAGAAAGGATCAAAGAATACTTCAAACGCAGTAAGGATACAAAGAACACTTAAAACTCAACAATTAAAAAAATTTAAAAATAGACCAAAAACTTCATATACACCTCACCAAAAAAAAAAGGCAAAAAAGCATATGAAAAGATGCTCCACATCGTATGTCATCAGAGACATGGAAATTAAAATGAGATACCACTATACACCTATTAAAATGGCCAAGATCCAGAACATGGACAATACCAACTTCTGGCAAAGATGTGGAGCAACAGGTTCTCACTCATTGCTGCTGGCAATATAAAACGGTACAGCCACTTTGGAAGACAATTTGGCAGTTGCTTACAAAAATAAACATACTCTTACCACATAAGCCAGCAAAAACACTATTTGGTATTTAACCAAAGGAGTTGAAAAATACAGGAGCATGTAAGAGAAACAACTTACCCAGAAAAATATAATAAAAAGTTACTTAACAGATGACAAACATCCTTAATAAGTATAAGAGTATATGTAAGATATAACAATACATTCAAGGACATGCTTAAAGTTATCCACAGGGAGGTCTTTCAAAGGAAATACTAAAAGTAGAAATCATAAAGGGAAGAAGTTAAGGATGTGTTATTTGATAAGAATGCTTATCATAGTATTTTAATAACTTGGAAATAAATTATGCTAAAAACAATATAACCATTAAAATATGATTATAGAATAGTTAACTAAAAAATATTTAACAAGATATTCACACCCAGTGGAGCACAGGCTACTCAGGAGGCTGAGGCAGAAGAATGGCTTGAACCCAGGAGTTAGAGACTAGCCTGGGCAACACAAGAAAACCCCATCTCAAAAGAAAGAAAAATACATACCAGATATATGTTGTCAACTCTGACAATAAAACAGTGTGTTATTATCTTACTTTTATACAGAAGACAGAGTGTGTGTGTGTGTGTGTGCGCGCGCATGTGTGTGTACCCAAAATATCAACAATGGTTATATCTGAGTGATGGAATTATGAGTGCTTTAATTTTCTTCCTTTTGATTTTCAACAATAAACATTATTGAAAACAAAACAAGCTAATAAGTTTCTCATATACTCATAAAAAATAAATATAAAATAATGAAGAAAAGACACTAGAAGCTCCCACAAATGCCTGAAATTATATGTTCAAGAGAAACTAGACTAAGCACTAACCTGATATGTCCAGAACGCCAGTGCTCGGGAGCTAATGTCCAACACGATCTCTGGTCGCAGTCCTGCCAATACCATAGCTTTATATTCCTCTGATGGACTGAGTTCTGTGCGGACAATATCTAGCTTTCCAGAAAGGGTACTGTTGCAGGCAGGACAGATAGCTGGTGAGCGACTAAACTCACCACTGCCATGCTGATCACAGAAGATGTGAGAGCAGGCAGTGACCCATGCATAGCCAGAGAGTTTGATGCGACACTTTCGATAATTACAAAGCAGCATGTCTTCACACAAAGACATAATAGGATAGTGAGGTCTCCAGAAGCTGAAGAGAGTCCTAATAAGGGGTAAATAAAAAGGCCAAGTAAGTTAAATTGCAATAAAAATAAAATAAATAAGTAAAAAATAAATATAACATGCATGTTTTTATTATAAAATACTGCACATTTTATTATATTCCTTGTATTTAGTATAATTGATATATTGATTTCAGTTACTCAATAATATTAATTGTGCTCCTTGTTTGTCCGGTTTTCTAAAAACACTTTAAGGATAAAGGTAAAGACAAAGGTGGTTACAGATCTTGCTAAAGTCAAAAATAATATATATGTGGGCCATGGGCAGTGGCTCACGCCTGTAATCCCAGCACTTCGGGAGGCCAAGGCAGGCAGGTCAGGAGTTCGAGACCAGCCTGACCAACATGGGGAAACCCAGTCTCTATTAAAAATACAAAAATTAGCCAGGCGTGGTGGCTCAAGCCTGTAGTCACAGCTACTAGGGAGGCTGAGGCAGGAGAATCACTTGAATCCGGGAGGCAGAGGTCGCAGTGAACAGAGATCGCGCCACTGCACTCCAGCCTGGGCGACAGAGCAAGAATCTGTCTCAAAACCAATATATAGGCCGGGCGCAGTGGCTCACCCCTGTATAATCCCAGCACTGTGGGAGGCCGAGGCAGACGGATCACGAGGTCAAGAGTTCAACACCAGCCTGACTGACATGGTGAAACCCCGTCTCTACCAAAAATACAAAAATTTAGCCTGGCGTGGTGGCGTGCGCCTATAGTCCCAACTATTTAGGAGGCTAAGGCAGGAGAATCGTTTGAACCCGGGAGGCGGAGGTTGCAGTGAGCCGAGATGGCGCCATTGCACTCCAGCCGGCGACAGAGCGAGACTCCACCTCAGAAAAAAAAAAAAAAAAAAAAAAGGTGCCTTGGCCCTCCGGGTCGACAGAAAGGAACACTTGGACACCTTTATCCCAGTAGCCCCGCTCAGTGAGTTTCCTCAGGTATGTCACCTGGCAGCCACGTTAAGAAGCCTATTTTACGTCCGGGGCAGAGGCGAAGCAGAGGAGCTGGGAAGCTTTAAAGCTGAGCCCTCGCTCAGGCAAGAGAGGCGCAGCTAATTCGAATCTTCCACCAGTTGGGAGTAAGCGCCTATCTAATGGCTGTACAAGCTGCGTGAGGGCCAAGTTTTAGAGAAACAGCCCCACAGAAATTACAGTCTGGAATTTTCAGTCAGCTTTCCGCGCTCAGTAGAGAAAATAATAATAACAAATGATACTTAATCTGAGGCTGAAAGAAAAAGCGCGGAAAAACTCCGTTGCCTCCACAGCTCCACAAGCGAAGATTCCAGGATTCTCTGCGCGAGTGCTCCAGGGAACTACACCAGAGCGCGCGTGCGTAGGGTTGCCCCGAAGCATCCTGGGACCTGCCAGGCCCTGTGGGGGTGCGGCGGGCAGCTCCGGCTTTCTGAGAATCAGGAGAAATTCCCAGAAACGGTGTGACAGCTGTAATTGGACAGCTGGCACCTCCAAGTTGGGGTAATCCACCATTTTATTTTTTATCCACCTTGGACTAGACATCTTTCCAGCTCTCACACATCTTCTATACACATTTAAGGAAGTTATAATTTTCTTTGAGTCTGCATTGCAAACATGCATTACAGGGCTTTACATTAAGCGATAGTGGGCTGGGCGCGGTGGCTCACGCCTGTAATCCCAACACTTTGGCAGGCTGAGGTGAGCGGATCACCTGAGGTCTGGAGTTCAAGACCAGTGTGGCCAACATGATGAAACCCCGTCTCTACTAAAATACAAAAATTAGCTGGGCGTGGTGGCGGACACCTGTAATCCCAGCTACTCCGGAGGCTGAGGCAGGAGAATCACTTGAACCCGGGAGGCAAAGGTTGCAGTAAGCCGAGATCGCGCCACTGCACTCCAGCCTGGGCGACAGAGCGAGACTCCGTCTCAAAAAACAAAAAAAACAAACAAAAAAAAAAAATTAAGCGGTAGTATTGAGGGTCACAACTTTGAGGTGACCTACCTGCGCGTTCTCCTGGAACTGCTGGCAGTTCCAGGCATTACCTATAGGCATTTACCTATAGCAGCTGCTGTAGGTAATTATTTTCTGCTTAATCTATATGGATGTTAGAATTCAGATTAAAAATTAACCTGAAGAGGAAAGCTAGAAGGGTCCTCAGAATATAAACCTTAATGAAGCTTTTTTTTCTTTTCCAGATAGGGTCTCACTCTGTCGCCCAGGCTGGAGTGCTGTGATATGATCTCGGCTTACTTCAACCTCCGCCTTCCAGGTTCAAGCGATTCTCCTGCCTCAGCCTCCCGAGTAGCTGGGATTACAGGCGCCTGCCACCACACCCAGCAAATTTTTGTATTTTTAGTAGACACAGGGTCTTGCCATGTTGGCCAAGCTGGTTTCAAACTCTTGACCTCAAGTGATCCACCCACCTCGGCCTCCCAACGTGCTGGGATTACAGGCGTGCACCACCATGCCCAGCCTTATACCGTCTTTTGTAGCCATCCTTCCAGATGTTGTGACCCTATTATGAATTAGTAACAGATGCAATTAGCCACACAGTGGACATCAAACCCTGCAAACCCCTTTCTGAGTAATGCCAAAACCATAATATCAAATCTTTTTCCTTCAAACAAAAAACTGTCAAAAACTGTGCAGCTTCCTACAAGGTTTGTCAGCTGGTTCAGAGTAATTAAGCCTTTGTACATTTCCTAAAATATATTCTGATAACTTTAAAGTGGTAACTTAATTTTAGTATAAACCAGTTTCAAAAAAATGAAATCTTCATGTGTGAACCATGTACTCCCTAACATCTGTTTTTGGCTGTTCGAGGCTTTTGTGTGAATTCTGGTTTTAACTATGCCAAATGTAGAAATATTAATACAAAAAAAAGTACAACTCATTTAAAGTTGAAAAATGCAAAATATTCTAATTTGACTAGTACCTAACTTTGTGATCCTAGCCTTTGTACTGCACCATGATCACTTCCTGGAGATGTATCTAAGTTAATACATACTTAACATTAATTCATTTTAACACCATGTACTGCAAATATGCTACAATTTATCCATTCTTCTAATAGACATTGATTGCGGGTTTTTACAATTAAAAACAATACTGCAATGAACATTCTGTACATGTCTCCTTGAGTACACATGCCAAAAATTCCTCTAGAATATAACACCCAGAGGCTGGGTTAGTATATAAGCAACTTCAAATCAACTAAATGTTGCCAAACCACTCTCCAAAGTAAAGGCATAAATTTCACTGCCACCAGCAAAGTATACAAGAGCCCAATGCTATAAATTCAGCAACATGCAGACATGTCAAGTTGTTTTATTTTATTTCATTGTTGTCTATCTGATGACAGTGAAATGGTATCTCAGTGTTGTTTTAATGTACAACTCTTTCATTACTCGTAAGAGTGAGCATTTTTTCATCTGAATGACTACTCAGGGATCCTCATCTGTGATTTGCCTGTTCACATCCTTTGATGATTTTCTTGATTTATATGGAGTCATTTAACAGTAATATGCCATGCAAACATAAGTTTGAATTTTAGTGTACACAAATGTATCAACTTTCCCTTTTTGTACTTATGTCTACTCCAATATCATCCTCTTGCTTTTCAATAGTTTTAAAGTTTTGCTTTTCATATATACAACTTAATTCATTCTTCCCAATATAAAGAGTCTGAATAACTCACAATAAGAGTTGTGAAGGCCAGAGTGACCACAACATTCAAGAAAGCAAACATTCCAACAACTTCACTATTTGATGGAGTGGTAGTCTAGTCTATAACATTCCTAGGTTATCTTTACCATGCAAGGGATACAATATGCATCAAAATATTAGGAATGTTGTATTTCACTGCTTTTAGAATGATATTTAATCATATTTATTGACTATACAAAACAAGGCAACCAACCACAAAGACAAAACTACTAAGAATAACAAAATCATATTCCAGCTCTTTGGGAGGCCAAGGCAGGTGGCTTATCTGAGGTCAGGAGTTTGAGTCCAGCCTGGCTAATATGATCAAACCCCATCTCTACGAAAAACACAAAAATTAGCTGGGTGTGGTGGTGGGCACCTGTAATCCCAGCTACTCGGGAGGTTGAGGCAGGAGAATAGCCTGAACCCGGGAGGCGGAGGTTGCGGTGAGCCGAGATTGCACCACTGCACTCCAGTCTAGGCAACAAAGTCAGACTCCATCTCAAACAAAAAAAAAAAATTATAGATATGAAATACTTTCCATGAGAATCAGGCCAGGCACAATGGCTCACACCTATAATCCCAGCACTTTGGGAGGCCAAGATGGGCAGATCACCTGAGGTTGGGAGTTCGAGACCAGCCTGACCAACGTGGAGAAACCCCGTCTCTACTAAAAATACAAAAATTAGCTGGGCGTGGTGGTGCATGCCTGTCCCAACTACTCAGGAGGCTGAGGCAGGAGAATAGCTTGAACCTGGAAGGTGGAGGTTGCAGTGAGCCGAGATCACGCCATTGCACTCCAGCCTGGGCAACAAGAGCAAAACTCCGTCTCAAAAAAAAAAGAAAAGAAATACTTTCCATGAGAATCTATATAGAGAAAAGCCGTCTGAAGATATTATAATGAAGGAGAAAAGGCATTGAGTTTCAAGCAGTAGTTGTGCTATATTTAAACACATAGAAGTAACTTCCTGTTTGTTTTGATACCTTGTTTTTATAGCCAAAAGTTGAGATTTGCAACAGACAGAAAAGTCTGACAACCTGAAGACCTATTTCTTGTAATTTATGAAATGGTTTAACTCATTTGTTTACTATTTTTAGACAAGCTACTGAATATTCATGAACTGTATATTATTGATAAAGCAATTTCAAGAATCTTAATCTAAATAGGTTTCATATTCTGGCCAACACAAGTTATTACAGTTGCATACCATTTGTGAGATTCTGGTATAAGCATGAGTATTAAATCTCATTACAAAAACAGTGAAGTATACCAGACTTTCAATATTTGGATTTTTATTTTGTACCACTTGTATTTAAATATACCATTATGGATGTAAACACAGCATATAGGACAGTATACTTTAGCCAAAACAATTGAGAATATTTCAACATGAAGCAGAAATGAGTTTTTAACCATACCTGAGTGGTATGTGCAATTTAAGTCAACGATAAATATCAAGTAAGATTGTAAACAAAATATTAACAATAAAAGATTTTTAAATACCAGTAAGCTTTTATATATCTATTCCTCACATAAATAGATTGGTTTTGGCAGTCATTCTTATAATAGGCATTGATTCCAGGTTTTACAATTAAAAACAATACCACAGTGAACGTTCTATACATGTCTCCTTGAGTACACATGCCAAGAATTCCTTTTGGAAACCGCCGTGTTTTGTCAATCAGGGCTTCCCCCACCTTTCCCCCCGCCCCACCCTGAACCCTCTATGGCTCCCACACCCAGAGACTAGGTTAGTATATAAGCAAATATTTTTTTGGTATCTCTTCTGGGCCAGGTCTTAGGGGAAAAGAAGGTATCCTGCTTTCATGGAGTTTACAATCTACCAAACGATCTAAGAATGACAGAAGAAAATGAAAATATTATTTTATTCTTTCCTTTGCCACCTCTTACATTTTTGCAAATTGATTCCATAAAGCCATTTCTGGTGAGAAAAGTCCATCTTTAACTTGAAGAATTATCTATCTTCATACTGCAAAGAAAAGTTATATGTATAATTTTTTTTTTTTTTTTTGAGATGGAGTATCTCACTCTATCACCCAGGTTGGAGTGCAGTGGCACAATCTTGGCTTACTGCAATCTCCACCTCCCAGGTTCAAGCGATTCTCTTGCCTCAGCTTCCCAAGTAGCTGGGACTACAGGTGCGCACCACTATGCCCGGCTAATTTTTGTATTTTTAGTAGAGACAGGGTTTCACCATGTTGGCCAGGCTGGTCTTGAACTCCTGACCTCAGATGATCCGCCCATGTCAGCTTCCTAAAGTGCTGGTATTACAGGTGTGACCCACCGCACCCAACCAAAAAGTGTATTTTTAAAACTGCCCTGACTTGTGTGAGCAACCACTCTAGAAAACCAAGTAAACCATTTAAAATTTGAACATGAATGACTTTATAGTATAATGTTTCAGTAACTCCCAGAACCAACTGGCTTTCTTTCATAGCGCTAGATGAGAGCTATCTAATTACTATATGCTCATGTTTTGAAACTAGGCTGCTGCTTTTATTTTTTTACTCACAGGTATATTTTCTTAATCTAGAATCACCACCCGTTTAGTAATTGTTTGACTCCGCAAAAATCAGAAGGCACTAACGGACAGCCAGCCCATCCTCATGGTGCCCTGAGTGAAGATAAGCCATTTTTGATATATGATGGATCAAAATCCCACTGCCTAAGGCTCCAAGCAGTGAGAGGAACAGCCATCAAAGTTTACCTCCAACCACATTAATTTAAGAAACGTTTATAAAAAATAAAGACATCCCAACCTGGGCAACATGGCAAAACCCCATCTCTACAAAAAATACAAAAAATTAGCCAGGCATGGTGGCCTGTGGTCCCAGCTACTTGGGAGCCTGACGTGAGAGAATCACCTGAGGCTGGGAAGCTGGGGCTTCAGTGAGCCCTGATTGTGCCACTGCAGTCCAGCCTGGGCAATGAAGTGAGTCCCTGTCTCAAAAAAAAATAAGACATCAAGAGACTCTTATAAGATAGGAATCATTACATCTAAGTAAGAACTAGAAGAGATCATTAAGGATCAATTGATTCGGCAAGGCAAAATGAGGAACTAGATAAAAAGTTAGTACCAAAATCAAGATTAATCAACTAAAGAAAATGTTATTCCAACAATTATATAAAGATACACACTATAGTGCCTGTGACTAATTCTAGAACTTAATTAAGTTTTGAGGGGCAGGGTGAAGGTAATGAGGGGTAGTCTAATTAACAGAAAGATATATAAGCAATAAAAACAAAGAATTTCCTCGTTTTTTTTTTTTTTTGGAGATGAAGTCTAGCTCTGTCACCTAGGCTAGGGTGCAGTGGTACGATCTCAGCTCACTGCAACCTCTGCCTCCCAAGTTCAAGCGATTCTCCTGCCTCAGCCTCCCGAGTAGCTGGGATTACAGGTGCACACCACCACACCCAGCTAATTTTTGTATTTTAGGTAGAAACAAGGTTTCACCATGTTAGCCAGGCTGGTCTTGAACTCCTGACCTCAGGTGATATGCCCACTTCGCCTCCCAAAGTGCCAGGATTACAGGCGTGAGCCATCACGTCAGGCCAAAACAAAGAATTTTCGTCAATCTATTATGCAGATGTCAAAAATTGCCAGGTAGTACAGAATCTAAGAGAAATATAAACATGGATTCTGAAGACAAAATAGTTAACATCAAACTGAGCATTTATCATATGCTTTACCCACACCCTTACTAATTTAATCTTCAAAATAACCACCCTGAGTCAAATACTATTGCCATTCTCTAAAATATAAATATAAAATATAAAACTAAGACACAGATAATTAGGAAACTTGCCAATACTGCATAACTGGTGAAGTGATAGAGAGCATGGGTTTGAACCCAGTCTGACTCCAGAACCCATATATATACTATACTATGCTACTTCTCAACATCTTTAATTGACTTTTTTGTTTTTGTTTTTGTTTTTTTGGAGATGGAATCTCGCTGTCACCCAGGCTGGAGTACAGTTGCACTATCTCTGCTCACTGCAACTTCTGCCTCCTGGGTGCAAGCAATTATCCTGCCTCAGCCTCCTGAGTAGCTGGGACTACAGGCGCACACCACCACGCCCAGCTAATTTTTTGTATTTTTTTAGTAGAGATGGGGTTTGCCATGTTGGCCAGTCTGGTCTCAAACTCCTGTGCTCAGACAATCCATCCACCTTGGCCACCCAAAGTGCTAGGATTACGGGCATGAGCCACCACACCTGGCCTCAACTGACTTTTAAAAAATGAAACTTATAGCACCTTAGCAGCTGGCCATGAAGTCACAAACCTGAATTTTCAAAGACTCATATATATGTCAAAGCTTCTCAATATCAATGTAAGCCTTACCATAAAAGAAAAATGTAGTAATCATCTACTGTATATCCAGGATTTACAGCACCAAAGAGGTCCAGACTGGAACAGTGAGACTCAGATCTGGTTTCAGTCTCTCGAAATTTTACTTCTGCAAAAGACAACAAAAGCTAAAAAATTATTTCAACTCCTGATATTACTTTGAGTTGTTTGTATTTCCCGTATTTCACCCTTCTTTCTACCTAATTCTCTGCTGAAAATGCAGGCATGGGTAAAGAATATAAGCTTGTCCTAAGTTACTTAAAATAACTTTTAAAATATTACAATACATGAATACAATAAAATTAGAAAATAGGTTTATAATAATACAAGATAACTTGTAGAACTCAATTCTAGAGAAAATAACCGCTAGTATTTTAGTATATATATCCTTTCCGATTTCTTAAGCAAACATATGCATATAAAAATATTTAAGCAGAAACACATTGCTCTCTAATGTTTTTCGTGTCATGAATATCATTCTATTTCAATAAACATAAACCTGTATCATAACTTTTAAGTGACTATATAGTGTTGTATTGTATAGTCTTCGCAAAATTGATTTAACCAACTCTGTGTTTCCCTTAATCTATATGTATAGATTGATAAAATAGTGATTGGTTTAAAACTGCCAGGCTAAATTGCCTATAGAATTATACCAGTTGCCAGTGCTTTTTCTGTAGTGTTTGAACTTTTAGATTAAGGATTCCTGACCCTAGTTCTAACTCACAAAAGTGATTTTTTGGGATTATAGAGATATCACAAAATATCAAAGCACAATAAATTAGTCTCAAATTCCTAACTTATTATTTATATAAATTTATTATATATAAATTCATAATTTATTAAGGTTTAAGAATCACTTGGGATTACAGACTAAATCCCAGTATTAATTCCAACAAGCAGAATTCAATTGCAGGTGTTTGCCCCTAGCTTTAGTCTGCTCAGAGCATGTGTTTAATCAGGCTGATCAGCTGAAACACGGACTTAACATGCATTTCATCATGGCAAACTGTAAATGACTGGAGAAGGGCAAACCAGCACTGGCTCCTTATCCCTAAACAGGAAAATTCTCTTAAGGTTAGAACTAGGGATTTTTTTCAATTACCAAATTCCATCCACTAATAACACTGAGTCCCAAGTCTTGCTAGGTGATTAGAAATCCAAATGAGGTAAAAATGAAGATTTTGCTCTTACTCTTACCTCTGGCATCACATGAATCCAGCTTCTATCTAGAAATCCAGTTGAACCACAGGATCTATCAATTACCTAGGATCATTTCTGGAAAATTTAAAAAAAATAAATTCACAAAGGTTATGATTACGTGACAACTCACACCAGCATGTTCTACACCAAGTCACAAGAAAATTTAGAGTAACTGTTCATCCTTTATTTAACTCTCCATTCATTAATATAAACTATTGACTCATCTTTCGGAGAATGTCACCAAATGCCCAAGCTCACTATCAAATAGGGCAGCATCAGGAGTTCAAGGTTACAGTGAGCTGTGATCATGCCACCGTACTCCGCCCTAGACAACAGAGTAAGACCTGTCTCAAGAAAAAAAAAAAAAAAAAGAGCAGGACCTCTCTTTTTTTGTACACAAGCTTAATTTTGTATAAATTTACAAGTTGGATAAAACTGCACAATAGTCTAACCAACTTCTGAAAGGCTATAAAGGTCAACAGTCTCACAGTAAGAAAACAGTTACGCAAGAGAAAGGGGTCAAGAACTTGTAAGATTCAGCTAACTGAGAAAATAATCCAAAATAGTCAGTTTTTTCAAAGCATGTTTCAATTTCATTTGAGCCAATGCAGGATTGTATTTAACCTTTACTCTTCATAATCCTTTGTCAAAATAATCTGAAGAAACTCTTCCCTTTACATAGGAAAATTGAATTAGTAACATTTGGAACCAAAGTCTGCCACAAGATGGCAACGTAAGAAAGAGGCTTGCTTTAATTTCCTCTTCCAGCATTTGAGTGTAATCTGAACTTTAAGGTCAAATACATACTAGATGCGCAGTTCGTCTTTGCAGGCAACCTTCACACTATTCCCTACTCTTCACCTAATTACTAGCTAGAAAATTTTTTTATTTACTTGTAATGATCATCTAAAACTTGTTAGCTAAAAATACTAGTTATACTTTTGTCATTGTGTTCTTTTTCATGCAGCAATGTGGAGATTTAAAAATCCATAACCTCAGACACAATCTAGCCAGAAAGACAAGACTCATAGAAATTAACATACCACCAAATAAGTGGTAGAAGGCAAGTAAGGTTAAGAAAAAAAGTAGGATTGGTCAAGGAAGGCTTCATGAAGCAAAAACAGTGGGTCATAAGTGGACCTTGAAGTTGCATGTCCAATAAGCAACCACTTAGAGTTAAAAATTAAATTTCTCCATTACACTACTCACATTTTCTTACTCAATAGCTATATTGGCAGTATAAACATAGAACATTCCCATCATAACAGAAGGCTGGACATCAGTGCCTTTAAGAATGGGTCTGCCGGGAGCGGTGGCTCACGCCTGTAATCCCAGCGCTTTGGGAGGCCGAGGCGGGCGGATCACAAGGTCAGGAGATCGAGACCACGGTGAAACCCCGTCTCTACTAAAAATACAAAAAAATTAGCCGGGCGCGGTTGTGGGCGCCTGTAGTCCCAGCTACTCGGGAGGCTGAGGCAGGAGAATGGCGTGAACCCGGGAGGCGGAGCTTGCAGTGAGCCGAGATCGCGCCACTGCACTCCAGCCTGGGCGACAGAGCGAGACTCCGTCTCAAAAAAAAAAAAAGAATGGGTCTAAAATAAGCTGACAGAAAGAAAGCAGTGGCTATCATTCTTTGGAAATCCTATCTGTCAAGCTGTATAGAATTTGTATCATTTAAATTTTATAACCCCCTATTTACAAGGAAAATTGAGGCTCAGAAAAATTACCTAAATTTCCTAAGATCACCTAACTAGTAAGGGCTAGGATTTAAATTCAATTCCATCAAAACTCCATACTCTTTTCACTTCACCATGATACTTCCTACAGAAAATAAGCAGAGCTAAAGATGGTTTGCTTTAAAATGTAAAGCAGTGATATGCTAGCTAGCTCAGAAGGTTGGAAAGAAACTGAAGCATTTTAAATATCTCAGACAGATATGATCAAAATGTTATTTTACTCCTTCCTTGCCCTACATTTCTATAATGCTTTAACTATGTAAAATGTTTTCAGATCAGCAGGATTCAAGGTTAACTAAGAGAATGAAGACAAGCAGCAAGACATGCTGTGAAAGGTTTCTACAGTTTTAACAATGTCTACCTTAAAACTCCTTGATCTCTCCAAACCCAAAATCAGTTTTTTTAAAAAGGAAATTAAAAAAAAAAAAACTACTTGATCTAAGTATTCTTACAGGATAATACTTATAGGTTGAAAGGAACAACTTCTCTATTAATCTCAACTCACAAACAAAACCCAGATTGCAAGAGGCCTGATCTTTTTGTTCTGACACATAGCACAAAGCCTGGCACATAAATCCTGATGTTAAATATGGGATACCTTTCGCAATGGGTGATGCCCCCTGCAGGATTCTAGTCATGCATGCTTCAACAAGTGTCATTCCAACACACAAAGGACATTTCGTATTTACTAAGTATTTTGGAAATGCTCCATAAACAATCAATGATCCCAGCATTTTGTTGACTGTGGGCAGTAATCACTTCAAAGTACTAGTGTTCATAGCCAAAAAGTACATTTTATATGTGTGAACAGATGCTTCATGAAGGCCTAATACAAACTACAAATTGATACTAAATCAGCAGATACTTGTGTTAAGATTTCATTACCATTCCATTTGACTCTATTCCAATTTATTCAGTGCCACCTAGCATTACAGGATACAATGGTAACTCAAAGAATCTCTAGGCTAGGCGTTTTAGATAGAAAAGGCACACATACGTGTAATAAAGAGAACTTAAGGCAGCTTATGTGATCAAAATTCAAGTACCAGGCTTTAGGTCCCATCAGTCTTTAACCCTTTCTGTTGAGAATATCCAAATTCAAGCCCATGATTTTCAGGGGGTCTACAGATGGGCCAGTCCTGGACTGGCACACAGGGTGCTGGACTTCCCTCCTCAGTGGATTTCATCTTCAACCTGAAACAAAATGAAAACACAAAATTTTGTTCATACGAAGTAAATACTAAACTGATAGCTTGGCATAGTTTTCCTTTAGAGATAGTTATATAAGGTACTGCTATCAGAACAGACTCCAAGTTTTAATTCCCACTCACTATCAGAGTTTCCTTCCTTTTTAAGGCAGAATAGTATTCCACTGTACATATGTATCATATTTGCTTTGTCCATTCATCTGTTGATGGACCCTTAGGTCAATTCCACATCTTGGCTTTTGTGAATAATGATGCAATGAACATGGGAGTATAGATATCTCTGACACACTAATTTTATTTCCTTTGAATATACCCAGAAATGGGATTTCTGGATTATATGGTAGCTCTATTTTTAATTTTTTTGAGAAATTTCCATACTATTTTCCATAATAGTTGCAATAATTAATATTCCCTAAAATAATAGATTTTGAAATCATACAAAACTAGATTTTAATCCTGGCTCTCTCATGTATTTGCTGTGCCCATGGGTAAGTTATGGAACTTCTCTAAACCTCAGCTGTCCCCTCTTTAAAATGAGAACAAATACTACATACCTCTTAAAACTTCTGTGAAGACTAAGGTAATAAATACACTTTGCACTGTAGCTGGCATGGTGTTAAATGTTTAATATGTTATTTTTATGTCTTGCCCAAGCTCAACCAGCTAGTGAGTAGAAAGGCAAATATTCTGCCTAAAAATTTCACACTTTTCCACAGCCATAAAAAAAAAAAAAAAAAAAATCATGTCCTTTGCAGCAACTGGAGCTGTTGGATGCTGCTGGAGGCCATTATCCTAAACAAATTTACGCAGAAACAGAAAACCAAGTATCGCATGTTCTCACTTATAAGTGGGAGTTAAATCTTGGGTAGGGAGCTAAATACTGGGTTCACAGGGACATAAGGTTGGGAACAATAGACACTAGGTACTCCAAAAGGAGGAAAGGAGAGAGAGGGGCAAGAACTGAAAAACTTCTTATTGGGTACAATGTTTACTACCTAGATGGCAGAATCAATAGAAGCCCAAACCTCAGCATCATGCAATATATACCCTGTAACAAACCTGCACGTGTACCCCATGAATCTACAATAAAAACAAATTTAACAACAAGAAGTCACACTTCTCACAATAACCCAGAAGCCAGAAAGGTCACTCATATAGTACTCATAAGGGCCCTTCCAACTCCAAGATAATGGGTCTTTTATTTTTTATTTATTTTTTTTTTTTTGAGATGGAGTTAGTTTACTCAGAAAATCTACTGAAACAAAAAATATATCTTTTAAAAAAAATAATTTTTAAAGAATACTATGTGACCATTATAAGGAATGTGGACACTCTACTCATGGAACTTAAGTGGAAAAAGTAAGACACATAGTAGAGTAGGTACAGTAAAAGGGAAGGATACCCACACATATCTGCTTATATGCATAAAATATCTTAGTAACACTGTTATGAGGGAGAGGAATTGGATGGCTTAGGGAAGGGGATAAGAAACTTTGATATCTTTTGAATTTTGAATCATATGAATGTATTACCTATTCAAAAAATATATATATGTATATATGTATTCAAAAAATATATAGAGTATTCAATATTTTATATATATATAGTATTTTATATATATATATAAAATATATATATAGTTTTTTTTTTTTTTTGAGACAGAGTTTCGCTATTATTGCCCATGCTGGAGTGCAATGGCGCCATCTCGGCTCACCGCAACCTCCACCTCCCGGGTTCAAGCGACTCTCCTGCCTCAGCCTCCCAAGTAGCTGGGATTACAGGCTTGCGCCACCACGCCCCAAAAAATAAATTTTAACAATGCTTGAGAATTATGAAAATTATGGGAGGCCTACAAATACCTATTACTACATTCGATTAACTGGTTTATTATTTGTCTTTCTCACACATTCTGCCTGTATGGATTTCCCACACATACATCATATAAAAATTAACATGTATCAAAAGAAAGGAATTCAGTGAAATTACATTCAAGGTTACTAGGCAAAACTTTTTATGAGAAAACAGATATCCAAAATACTTACTGTAAATAAATAAGTACTGCTTACTTCTAAAGGTACCTAACATTTATTACATACCAACTAGAGCCTAGTTTTTATATATTTTATCTGATCTTGGAAAGCTAAGCCTTGGAATGGCTCACTGCTTCTCCCAAGGTCACCAGAGCTGTAAACTGTGGCGCTGGAATTTGAATCTAGAGGCTTGCCCTAAACTAAGGTCCCTGATCTTGTTCCATAGCTTTTAAGGACACACTCACCACAGTGGCAACATTAAAAATTAGCAGCTCCTCTTAGGGCTTATCTGTCTTCAGAGTTTGCTGTCCAGGTTCACCAAGAAAGCCGAAATGATCTGAGCAAAAGCCAGGGTAAAGACAAGGTCCGCTACAGTTTCCACAAACCCAGTAAGGACCTGGGCCCTCTAGACACTCACCGGAGAATTAAAATCTACTGAGCTGAACGCCTTCTCCCGAGATCTGACCTCACCCAGAGAGATATAAATCAAAACAGCATTGGGATGATAATATCTTTCCCTCAAAGCAAAACGAAGTCGGCGTTTTCCAAGAACAGACGCACTATGCACATGAAGCACAGTCTATTGTTCCTGGGTCACCAGGACACGGAGATGGAAGGCAAACCCGGTACTGCAGAGGCCCACGTGGAAACAAGCCAGGCAGAGCATTTCACTGCCTTCTCCCAACCTCCACACAGCCGACATTAACCTCCTTGCGACTCACACACACTGCAATGCCGACTTGAAATAAAGGCCTGCCACCTGGGTATATAACTCAAAGGGAAGAGAAATTCAAAACAATTAGAGAGGAAAATTAAGTGCACACTCACCAGCCCACCAAAACGGAGAGGGAAAGAAAGTGGAGAGACAGGAAGCCGCCTTGGGAAATGTCTTCAGAACCTGATTGGCTAATGAGTTCAAGAGGATTCCCTCCTCCTTTACCTTAAAAGGTGCTGAAATGACGTAACCCACTCCACCCCTCTCTATGGACCAGTGATGCTTCTTGCACTATTTTTAGAGTGAACTTCTTAAACCAAGTTTCCTTTTGAGTTAATGTACTTAGGCAAAAACAGGCTAATTTTATACACATTCTTGTTTGTGTGGGCCTACTGTATTCTATTCCAAAGAATTTTCATCCCTTAAGAGTAATTTCGTATCCTTTGTGACCTCAACATGGTTAATTTATGCTAGGCAACAGATTCCATTATAAACAGTCTAGATGATTCAAGTTAAAATTTACCTTCATTTTTTCCCCCAGATCCAAAGCTGGCCTGATAAAATTTACCTTCAGGTAATCTTCGAACTAACAGGCTTAGTAGAAAAACAGTAGATGGTTAAGTGTTTTAGGTTTCAAATAAAATTTAGCTGATTTTGAATCTGAACTTGCCACTTATTTGCACACATCTAAGCCTCAGTTCCCTCAACTATAAAAAGAGGGAAAAAAGATGAAATCTTCCTACTCTGATTGTTGTGAGGATTAAGTAAAATAATTTATATAATGTACTCAGTACAATGCCCGGTACACAGTACTCAACAATGTTAGCTGTTATTATTGTTATTACATATTTCTTGTTAGGTTTATCTTCCCAAGTAGGCTATAAACAACTAGAGAGCAAAGTGTACGTTTTACACATCTCCAGACCAAAACAATGACTTTCAGTGCTGAAGACATAAAAAGACAAAATAATTGATTAATCAATTATTTTGACTCCTCACATTGCCCTCCAGTTAAAGTATAGGTTCTTAGTCTGTTAAAAAAAATTTTTTTTTTTTGAAACAGGGTCTCACTTTGTGTCCCAGGCTGGAGTGCAGTGGTGCAATCTCGACTCACTGCAGCCTTGACCTCTCGGGTTCAAGTGATCCTCCTGCCTCAGTACCCCACTAAGTAGCTGGGACTACAGGCATGCACCACCACACCCAGCTAATTTTTGTATTTTTTGTAGAGACGGGGTTTCGCCACGTTGCCCCAAGCTGAAAGATGTCTTTTTAAGCCATAATTAGAGGACTCCCTGGCACAATATTCATCATTATTCTTAATAAATACTAATATAATATATAATAGGGAATACATATACAAATATATGTTATATATACAAATATACATGTAATGTGCAAATATTTGAAGTATAAAAATTAAAGGTATATGAAGAAATGATACAACTCTAACTCATAGTAGTTCTCATTTTTTAATCATTTCATCCTATCCACCCTGCTTCCACCTTACTAGAAATTACCTATTCCTATAGACTTTAGAGTTTACCTGCCCCAAATTTCCCAACATTTAGCATCAAATGCTACTTTGTTGTTTCATAATTGATTTATTGTAACCTCTAGAGTCAAAACGTTTCTTGAATGTTTACTATAAACCAGGAATGATGCTAAGCACTTTATATTCATTACGTTTTTTAATCTTCATATTAACCCAAGAATGTAAGCACTTTCATTATAACTATTTTACCAAAAAAAAAAAAAAAAAAGGAAACAGAGTTATAGAGATTAAGAAATTTGTCTGTTTAGCAAGTGGTAAAGTCAGGATTCAGATCTCAGTTATTATGGTTTGAATGTCCCCTTCAAAGTTCACGTTGAAATTTAATCCCTAAAGTGGCTGAAACTTAATCCTCATTAGAAGCGGGGCCTTCAAGAGGTGACTGGATTATGAGGGCTCTGCCCTCATGAATAAATTAATCTATTCATGGATTAATAGGTTATCATGGGAGGGGAACTAGTGGCTTTAAAGAAAAGGAAAAGAGACTTAAGGATAGCATGTTAGCAGTCTCAGCCTCCTGGCCATGTGATTTCCTGCCATGCCTTGGAACATCACAGGGAGTCCCCTCCAGCAAGAAGTTCAGATGCAACCCAGAGGCAGTCCCTTAACCTTGGACTTCACAGCATCCATAACTGCAAAAAATAAATTTCTTTTTTAAAATAAATTACCCACAGCCTAACCAGCATGGCAAAACCCTGTCTCTACTAAAAATACAAAAATTAGCTGGGTATGGTGGTATGGGCTTGTAGTCCCAGTTACTCGGGAAGCTGAGGTGGGAGGATCGATCACTTGAACCTGGGAAGCGGAGGTTGTAGTGAACCAAGACTGTGCCACGGCACTCCAGCCTGAGTGACAGAGTGAGACCCTGTCTCAAAAACTAAATAAATAAATAAATAACCCAGGCCTGGTGCGATGGCTCACACCTGTAATCCCAGCACTTTTGGAGGCCGAAGCGGTCAGATCTCTTGAAGCCAGGAGTTCGAGACCAGTTTGGCCAACATGGTGAAACCCCATCTCTACTAAAAATACAGAAAAATTAGCCAGGCATGGTGGTGCACACCTGTAATCCCAGCTACTTGGGAGGCTGAGGCAGTAGAATCGCTTGAACCAAGAGGTATAGGTTGCAGTGAGCCAAGATTGCGCCACTATACTCCAGCCTGGGAGACAGAGCAAGACTTTGTCTCCAAAAAATTAATTAAAAAACAAACAAACTAATAATTAAGTGACCCAGTTTCAGGTATTCTGTTATAAGCAACAGAAAACAAACTGAGACAGCAGCCATCCAACTTGAGAGCCCAAACTCAACCACCACATTACACTGCCTCCTATTGTATGATTTCAGAAAACCTTAGAAAGTACAATATTATTTTCAAATTCCCATTAAATATCTATCATCTCTTTATGATATTCTGTATTCCAGGTTTTAATACTCATAACAATCCATTATGAAGTTCTCTTCAGCTGGTAACATCAAAAATTTGTGCTCTGTAAAATAACTTTGAAATTGTTTAAAAGTAGATAGATTCCTGGGGCCAGGCGCAATAGGTTACATCTGTAATCCCAATACTTGGTAGATGGAGGCAGAAGGATCGCTTGAGCCCAAGAGTTTGAGAGCAGCCTGGACAGCATGGTAAAACAACTGTCTCTACAAAAAATAAAAATAAAAAATTGCCAAGAGTGGTGATGCTTCTGTAGTCCCAGCTACTAAGGTAGGCTGAGATGGGAGAGAGCATGAGCCCAGAAGGTAGAGGTTGTAGTGAACTGTGTTTACACCACTGCACTCCAGCCTGGGCAACAGAATGAGACCCTATCTCAAAAAAAAAAAAAGTAGATTACTGGGACATACCTTCAGAGATTCTAAATCAGTGGGTGGGACTCAGGAATATGTATTTTAATAAGCACCCTCAGGTACTTCTGGTAGATTTGAGGCTCACCCTTTGGAGAACACGGACTGAATGGCTATCGTTTAAGGATGTTATCACTGAAAGGGTGGTGGGGGTGAGGGATAAAAGACTACACACTGAGTACAGTATACACTGCTCGGGTGATGGGTGCACTAAAATCTCAGAAATCACCACTAAAGAACTTATTCATGTAACCAAATACCACCTGCTCCCTAAAAACCTATTGAAATAAAAAATAAATTTTAAAAAAGGAAAAAAGAGATGTTATCACTGCTGCAGTGAGTAAACTCTTGGAAAAGGTAGCACTCTTTTTTTTATATATACTTTAAGTTCTAGGGTACATGTGCACAACATGCAGGATTGTTACATATGTATACATGTGCCACATTGGTGTGCTGTACCCATCAACTCATCAGCACCCATCAACTCGTCATTTACATCAGTTGTAAGTCCCAATGCCATCCCTCCCCCCATCCCCCTCCCCACAATAGGCCCTGGTGTGTGATGTTCCCCTTCCCGTGCCCAAGTAATCTCATTGTTCAATTCCCACCTATGAGTGAGAACATGCAGTGTTTGGTTTTCTATTCTTGCGATAGTTTGCTGAGAATGATGGTTTCCAGCTGCATCCATGTCCCTACAAAGGACATGAACTCATCCTTTTCTACGGCTGCATAGTATTCCATGGTGTACATGTGCCACATTTTCTTAATCCAGTCTGACACTGATGGACATTTGGGTTGATTCCAAGTCTTTGCTATTGTGAATAGTGCCACAATAAACATATGTGTGCATGTGTCTTTATAGCAGCGTGATTTATAATCCTTTGGGTATATACCCAGTAATGGGATGGCTGGGTCATATGGTACTTCTAGTTCTAGATCCTTGAGGAATCACCACACTGTTTTCCACAATGGTTGAACTAGTTTACAATCCCATCAACAGTGTAAAAGTATTCCTATTTCTCCACATCCTCTCCAGCACCTGTTGTTTCTTGACTTTTTAATGATTGCCATTCTAACTGGTGTGAGATGGTATCTCATTGTGGTTTTGATTTGCATTTCTCTGATGGCCAGTGATAATGAGCATTTTTTCATGTGTCTGTTGGCTGTATGAATGTCTTCTTTTGAGAAGTATCTGTTCATATCCTTTGCCCACTTTTTGATGGGGTTGTTTGTTTTTTTCTTGTAAATTTGTTTGAGTTCTTTGTAGGTTCTGGATATTAGTTCTTTGTCAGATGAGTAGATTGCAAAAATTTTCGCCCATTCTGTAGGTTGCCTGTTCACTCTGACAGTAGTTTCTTTTGCTGAAAGGTAGCACTCTTTAAAAATTTCATTTATAATTTAGTCAAAATGAAGAACTGAGAACAGCCATTTTTCTGTACTTAAAAATTAAGCATCTCCTTTGCAAGTTCACATTTGGTTATCCACCCTGGAGAAATATTGTGCTCAAAGGGGCATGTTCAAGGAAGGATGTTCCTTGTAGCACTGGTTATGACAGCAAAACAGTTAGAAACACCCATGTCTATTCAAAGAAGATCATTAAATCATGATACAACTATTCCTTGGTGGTAGGGGTGGTTAATGGGTACAAAAAATCGTTTAAAAAAATGAATAAAACCTACTATTGGATAGCACAATAGGGTGACTATAGTCAATAATGACTTAATTGTACATTTTAAAATAACTGAAAGAGTGTCCATGGATAAAGGTTTCAGGGGATGGTACCCCATTCTCCAGGGTGTGTTTCTTTCACATTG